AAAAAAAAAAAAAAAAAAAAAAAAAAAAAAAAGCAGGCATTCTCATCCCAGTCTTGTTCATTTTTCCGTGGCCTTGATTCCAGTCATGAGCTGCGCACCCCAGTTGCCTGTATCATTGGCATGTTGGAGCTGCTTCAAGCCGATGGCTTGACAGAGGATCAGAGAAGCGGAGTTGAGCAGATAAACTCCTGTGCAGTGCGCCTTCTACAAATCCTCAACTCCATTCTTGACATAGCCAAGGTGCGCGACTCACACTCAAAAGACCATTTCATTTGAATGTTTCTTGATGCATCAAATACTCAAAGACCTTGTGCGACAGACCCAATTTTTCGAGTTCCCTCCTACTCAGTGGGATCTTGATTAGATGGGTGCAATCTACCTGCATGTAGGGAGACTTTCCCAATCGCCCAATCCCTCGATGAGGAAACTGGCTCTCTCATAAGTTCATAATGGAAGGTGCTTGTGGGAGTGACCCTGTGTACAGGCTATTGTGTAGGAAGTTACTAGGAACCCAAATACCTTGGGAAACGTTTCTACTTCTGACAGGTTGACCGTTGAGGGGACAAAGGCCTCCTTCAAAGGGGAGCTCTATTCAGAATTTGGTTAACTTTTTGCACACATACATCTAGAAAAGTACTACTGTGAACAGATTCCCTTAGTGCAATGGATTGACAATTGAACCAACCACAAGCAAGCGAGCGAGAGAGAGAGAGAGAGAGAGAGAGAGAGAGAGAGAGAGAGAGAGAGAGAGAGAGAGAGTGGAGACCTTACATTGGTATTATGGGAGTCCCGGTCCCTGACTTGAGATCTGAGGTTCATTGCTGGAGGCGCTTGGGGGGATGGCTGATATTAAATGAGCAATCCAATGGACTATATCAGGAATTCCAAGGAGCCGGAGGTCAAATCCTATACAGGTGATAGACTGGAATCTATGTAGTGCAGGCATGGGATCGTGCATTTGTTTTTCGCGCTGTACACATGGAGGCTGCCAGGCAGCCCAGTTGTTGCGTGGCGGAGGCCTGCCACAGCCACAAAAGAAAATTGCAGCCCCCAATCTCCATTTTCAGATCGCGATTCTGCTGACTTCTACCTTCACGGTCCTTCAGGCTCTTCTGCCAATTGCCAAGGTTCGGCAACTCCAGCAATGGGCAAACAACATACTGGAAAAAGTAGGTTCACGGACGGTCAAGGTATAAACCAAGCGATTGCAGACAAGGATCAGCTACCTTTTATTTCTCCTGCACGAGCACCCAACAAACAAGAACTTATATCCTTGGGTGCTCCCATGTGGGAATATCCTCCGCAATTGTGGAATGCTAACCCGGTCACCTCACAGCCAACACATGCAATACCTATTTATATCACTGATTCCACCCCTCCTTCCAAGCGTAACCTTGGATAAGCCATTCTGAACTACTGAACAGTCAGAAAGTGCAAAACGAAGGGCTGATCTACCTATTCTCGTCAAAGCGTATTTTTTAGTTAATGACGGAGCCTTGAGGCTACGTTCGTCCCCCCTGAACACAGCTCTCAGTCATTATGAATGTACCAGAAAGGGACAGACTGCTTGTTTCCAGTCATAATGGCTGAGCATTTTGTTCACGGGAAGAAGATAGGCAGCCTTAGTCTAGTACTTGTCCAAGTGTCGCTTAATATAAAGTTGCGTCCTGTACTACCGGTGTAGTGCATTTCCTTATCCGCGTTCTAAGTTGCAGTGGCAATGTTCCTCTAAGCTAGTCCTATCTCCCTCCATGTTAGCGTCACATAAACACTGTTCTCAGTTCCTAGAGGAAGAGGAATAGATGCGCACCATAAGGTGCTTTCAGACATTGAAACTTCAGGAATATATATATACACAGCCCCTCGTTTGTTGTCCTCTTCTCTCTCTCTGCCTACGGTTTTACCGGGCAGTTTATGCATGTGTCAATTGCTTGGTGACATCTTTTTATGTAGACACTGTTGGTCTATCGGTGTAAGGCTCTTGGCATTGCTGCTGGTTGCACACTTATGCTGATTGCACACTCATCGGGAGACGCAGTTTCACATTTACACCAAGCTCCCTCTTTGACAATG